AGAAAAGTGAGGTTGTGTTTCAATGTTTTATCTTTAGGGTCGGTCATCGAGCACGCTACCTACTTAGGATGTGTTTCATTTCGAAAATTATTCAAGATGGCGCTCCGCTGCCATTTCAAAACTTCAAGCTGTCAAAAAGTAGGTTTCCATCTCCCATTTGCGATCAACAAATTTCTTCGCGATATACTAGGTGGTCCATAAATTAGTAGGGAAGGAACGGACTTTCGACGGGCACTGTATGAAATCGAGATTTTTTTCTTACCGGTATATCTGGATTGGAGCTTGTTTGTGAGGTCATGGCATTGATTGCTACAGTGATATGTATCCTCGTTGAGTAAGCTATGGCAGCGAAGAAGAAAATGAGTAGTCCTTGTACATGTCTGGTTCCAAAAACGGGACCTAAGAAAAAGCAATTTCTTCATGATTATCAGGATGCACCCCTCTAGGTAAAAATATATACTATACCGGTTGATTTTCCAAAGTGGCTCATCTTTATAACCTTTTTATTATTCAATGTAGTGAAACGAAATTTTGAGGTTATGAATTAGAGTTCAATTGACATTTGTTGACCTGTTTACTTGCTTCGATGTACTTCCGGTTTGACCGGAAATGACCCCAACTTTCTATTTTTTTTCCATAATCGGTTAGAGATTATTTATAAGGAAATCAATGATATCGAGTTTGATAGCAGTTATTAGATATTTGCAATCGAAGTTTCCATATATGCTTAACGGGTGTGATGGCGCAATATCGAAATTTCTTTCTCTCTCATATTCTCATCAAGCATATGGGAACTTTGAATACAAAATATCTTCGTGATCGTTTGAATGAACGCTATCAAACTTATTGGTATCGTTGAATTCTGATCCCTAACCGATTATGATACAAAATACAGGGTGTTCCATTTAAAAATCGAAAGTTGGGGGTCATTTCTGGTCGAACCGAAAGTACTACAAAGCAAGTAAATATGCCAACGAATTCCAATTAAACTAACATTCACAACTTCCAAATTTCGTTTTACTACATTCAATTATAAAAAAGTTACAACTGACCCGGTATAGGAGGTTTTTCATGTTTTTCTTCTACTTAAAAATATCGATAGTTTCACACTACACTGTTTTACCATTAACCAAACCGATTATTTAAACACCCCGACACGTATTTCGCTAACTATGTTTAGCATCTTCAAGAGAAGATGAACACCAGAATAAACCATCAATTAATTTGATTCACCTTTATCAATGATTTTTGTCTCCATTAGGTACTGTAGTTCTATCTACTTATTTGATAGAATTTTACACATCTGAATGGTATGTTATTGTTCAATGGAAAATTATAATACAGCCAGACATTTTTGATCATTTGAATGACTACTTATAGGTATGTATACCTAATGAATAACTAATCTTATCTGCAGATTCGTTTTGTTTTATATTAATAAGATTCCCCAATCTCAACAGTATTCGTGATATTGACAGAGATTTTCGAATTTTATAGTACCTCTATATTCATAATATATTATAATGAGTGTTTCAAATCTCCGCTATCTGTGGAGATATCACTCTCATTTCAATTCCAAGATCTTCAATTGATTTAAAAATTGCTGATTCATTTTTTGTAGTTCGGATATAGAATCACGATGAAATTATTGACTTTCGAAATTTTCGATTGAACAAAAATGGTTCGGGCTAATTGTGAATATCTCCTGGATTATAATTTTGAATTTCACGTTCAAAGGCATGCTCTTCAGAAATGAATAGTTAGATTATTCTTTTTACTGGACCTAATGGCGTACCTACGAGAGGGAGATAAGGAAGAAATACCTAACTAGGGAAAAAGCCAAATACTCAAAGTGGAATGCAATGGCCACTTTGAGTATTTGGCTTTTTCCCTAGTTGAAAATACGCCAGTCGGGCAACCAGCCACTCCCATTTCACCTGGGATTTTGTTTTGGAGTGTTTCTTTCCTTGCCAGGTGGCGTTCGGCGTTCGCGTTTTCATTTCGCAGACGTCGAACGCCTCGTATGGTATTGGTATTGCTGAGATGCGTTTACGTTGGGTTAGGTTCGCACCAGATAGCGGTCAAGAAGCTATCTGGAACAGCCCTGTACTGATGAGAACCAAGAGATCGAAACCGGTCTGCAGGTAGTCAGCGTTCCTGAACCACTTAATCGCAGCTCAGCGTTTAGGAAGGAAACACTTGCGATTTTATTCGTTTATACGAACTATCGCATAGATTTCGGGAGGATGTAATGCAATGTTCTGCGTGGCATATAGCCAGGAAAGTAGTTGTTTTTCTCTCGTTATCTACCATTGTCGTTCATTTATGAACTAGTTGTTGTAATGACTTTAGAGTTTCTCTCTTTGGGAAGAAATTCCTCCTATCCGATAGAAAGACACCACTTTTCCCGTATAACTTTCGAACGGTAATAGCCACCAGATTGGAACATCCTGCATGAATGTATGTTCATAAAATACATTTTTCTGATACACCTTTTATATTTCTGATATTGTTAAAGAGGGTGTTTTTGAGAGTGGGTCATGATTTTTGGAAGACAACTCGTATTCTGTTTGGTGAAAAAATAGAAGCATTTGATAGAGCAAAAAAAAACATAAACACGGTACTCTTTTCAAAATACAAATATTGTTACCGTTTTCGAGATATTTGTGCAGATTAATTCATCGGTAACAATATTTTAGGAGGCCATGATCAATTTTATTCATAATTTTGACGTTCATGACATGAACATTGTTATTGTTGATTTCCTTGTTTAGTTTTCTGCTAAGTATAATATTGTTACTATGATTTTCGATCAATCTCAACGGTAACAATTTTTGTATTTTGATATGAGTACCGTTTGATTTTTTTCGCTCCATCGAATGCTTCTATTTTTTCTCCAAAAAGAATGTGACGGAAAAAAGTTGTCTTCAAAATCATGGCCCACCCTCTAAAAACACCTTTTATAACAATATTAGAAATGTAGAAGTGTATTAGAAACATTAATTTTGTCAACATACATTTATGCAGGAAATTTCAATCTGGTGGCTTTCACCGTTTAGAAGTTATGAGGGAATATTATTTAAATTTCATCAACTGTGGAATGATATATATCTTCCTAAATATACAACTACTATACTATACTCATTTTCCCTTCAGAAATAAAAAAGTAGTTAGGTACACGGTTTAAAAAACTATGTATATTTTTAAACGGTTTAAATGGTTATTTCACACGAGAATGAAGTTCGCAGCATGAGCCGTAGGAGAATGATGCAAATCATACGAGTGGGAAATTGAAATTAGCATTCCGTGCGAGTTATACACTATTCCTTCTCTACGGCTATAACAGATCATTGCGAATTTTTTTATTTATTCGGCTTTCGTAGCCATCTCATTTTCTCTTAAGTAACCGAGTAAGTAACACTCTATCGGACAGAGCTGTCATTGTTCGGAATTTTACATGTTATGGGGGTGAAATAATCTGAAATGTGAAATAATAACACAAAGAAGTCATTGTGTTATCAGATAAGGGAATGAAATTGAGGACGTATAATATGTACCAAAACAGTATAAAACAAGAGCAATTTTGTGTTATAGCCGTAGAAATAAAGTGGTATCTGATGCCTAATTCACAATTGCAACTGTAAATTAGTGCAATAAGAGTTCGTGAAGAAGAGTTGTTTCAGAATCGAAGTGAAGAGCCGTTTGTACAAAGTGATGGCAAAATGAAAATCAGGTCGAGACTCAATATATCTATTGGTGATTCCAGATTCGAGCTAATATCAACTTTATGATGAATTTTATCGTAACCATTATGATTGAACGCGTAATCTCACTGACAGATCCAATAAATCAGTGCAGAAGCAGACTATGCAATAAAATCGCAATTACAAATTGAGCTATTTATCTGTGAAATGCAATTATCTACCACGAAGAGAGGGCTCTATATAAGGAAAATCGATATTGAACAAGAATTGCTCTGTGAAATGTTGCAGAATACCATTATCTGAATAGACAGACAATATAATATAAAGATACGCTAGTTTTAGTAATGTCCTTCATTTTTCTTTAACCCATTCAAAAAAAAGCATGGGGAAGAGTAGGTTGAATCAGAGCAAAGTTGCACCAGTTCATGCTCAACAAAATGCTGCTTTGAAATTGAAAAAAAATCAATTTTTTCCGGAGATATCTGGAAAAAAGAAAGATATGCAAAATCGTTTTTATAATTATATTACTCAGTTTATTCGAAGAGATAGTTCAAAATTGATGTCTCTTCATCATTGCCAGTTTTCCTCCTCTACAAAATGAAATTATCATGGCCATCATCAACTTCATTTTGTAAATAAGGACCTGGATATTCATTTCATTTTTCGATAGTTTTCGATCTCCTTGTTATGATGGTGTACCAGAACAATGAATAAAATGTTTACTTCAGTGAAAAAATTGTTGATATGTTAGAAACTCTCATTCTATGGACAGTATTGTTTAGATCGTATTTAGTGGGTAGACAACAATATGTACACCTGAATAATAACTCTAAATCTGAACTCAGAAATGGAGTCCCTCAAGGGTCCGCTCTGGGGCCACTGCTCTTCATCATATACATTAATGACCTCTGCTATCATATGATGAAGAAGTGTCAAATTGTCCTTTTTGCAGATGATTAGTTCATTATTATCGCTCGAAATTGGCAATAAAGGTCAGTTTTGAAGAAACAGTAATTGCCAATAGTAGTCAAACTATCGAATTTGTTCTTTCTACTTTCCGAATTCGCATTAAAATTGGAAAGTTACGAAACTTCACGACATTTTTCATCGAACTTTCTGTCCACCTGACTTCGACGTTTCGTTACAGATGGCAGCGCCGTCTTCAGACCCGTCTGAAGCCTGCCTCCCGGCCGGCACGGGCGACACGGGCTGAGGCGGGGGCGGCGGTCACGTGACCATGTGAGGCCCTCTCTCCCTCGCATCAGAAGGGCGGCGACCTCTTGCCTGGCACCGGAGATGGGCTGCGGCCATAGCAAGATCAACATTTACCCCAGGAAATCGAAGAGCAAAACCGGTTCGAAGAAGTCAGGTTAGTTGGATGCTTGGATCTAGAGGCTCACAAGAAGAAAGTTCATATTCAACGCATTTCATGAAAAATTATTTGAAGGCCTCTAAACAGGGCCTTCCGAGTTCTCTATCTCACTCTTAGAGTAGGCCCAGCTCTAAAGTAACCATTTATTGTGATCAATGTGGAGGACAGAATGAAAACATCAAGCTTGATTTCCTCTGAGATCGTTATACCCAGAACTTAGAGAGTTGAAGTAATCACTGTACGTAGACCTCCACGTAGACGTTAACGTACGAAAAATAACGTTTACGTATTATCGTTAAATTGAGTTGAAGTCGCCACTTTGGTCTTCACTGTCATCATAACGTAATGATACATTTTGTTTTCGGTTTGTATTGGTCATTTTTGGTTGTGTGTTTAGATTCGAACATTTATTCCTGTCAAAATTAGAGGACTCCTTGATGCAGAACCCGTTGGTGATCTCGAATTTGATAATTTTGACTCATCGGCATATTTCGAGTCTAGTTTGGTTAACGTACGTTGATATTTAGGGTACCTATACGTGAAGGTACGTGAGATAACGTACACCAGTAAGCCCACTAACAACGCAAACGCGAAGAATTGGAAAATGCGCATGCGTAGCTGTCAATTTCTACGTTTACGTTAACGTTCATGACAACACTTCAACTCTCTATTATCCAGCAGATTGTCCACAAACTGGTTTCCAGAAACTCATAGCTCAATAATAATGATGATAATAATAATAATAAAATTCTTTACTTTGAGAAATAATTAGAATACATTGCATGTAGAGCAACCATTGAACGAAATATGGTCATTCTCGAAAACAACTATACAGGGTGTTTCAAAAAAACCTAACCCCCTTGCTAGGGTAGGTTAAACATTGCAAAATAAGTTGGGTTTGCTCAGTGAACAGATTTCGTGACAGCATCCGTTCTCAAGATACAAGGTGTTGAAAAAATATTTTTCTCACACATTCTTCACGATTATGTCGAAACTAATGTCAACATTGTGATGGAATTTTGTATAGATGTGTTCTGAAAGCTGACACACCGCATGAATTTGTTTTTATATCTGACAAGTGACACTCATAGAGGGCGCTAGTTACAGGGTTCGTACCGAGTACTTTTGAAGATATTTTTTTTGAGGTTAGATTTTTCAGTCCAAATTCAATGTGAACTTGAACCTCGACTTGAACACTATTCAATTTTACACCAAAATGATGCTCTCGGTAAAACTCGATACTGTGTACCGTTTTCGAAATATTTCGATTTGAAAATGCTGAAGCAATACCTGTGATTCTTTTATTAGAATAAGTATTATAAAAAGCAATTATCTATTGATCAAGGACGAAAAACGTAAACATTATTTCACTGCTGGAGTTATCGATTAAACAAAATCACATCAGAAAATATTTAATAAAATTTGACTAAAAACATCATCTAGTTAGAGTAAGGGTCCAAAATGTCCTCCGTTTTCACGAATACACAATTCGATCCTTTTTTCTGAAGAATGCATCAATCTTCTCAACGGTTGAGTATCAGCTATGAGATCATCGAAGTGATATGTTACGACATTTTTTTACTGAGCAAACCCAACTTATTTTGCAATGTTCTACCTACCGTAGCAAGGGGGTTAGGTTTAATTGAAACACCCTGTATACCATAAAATTCTTCTATTGTATAGGGTTCCAAGCTAATAAACAAATCATACACCTTTTTTTATATGCAGTGAATTCATTGATAATTTTGATATGTTCTGGCAATTTGTTGAAACATTTGACAGAAGAGTACAGTGCCCCATTTTCAGTTACACTCAGTCTATGTATTGGATATTGCAGATTTCCATGTCTAGGTCTAAAACCTCATCGCACTAGGTCGCCTACTAGATTTTCATTTAGATCGACAATGGTCCAACAAAAATAACATACATTCTTGAATGTATAAAGCTGACACTGTTTGAATAATATTTTTCCTGAAATGGCCCCTACATGAATCGTTGAACTTCAAATTTAACATTATTCTCAATCCTCGTTTCTAAATCGAGAACAGATTCTCAATATCTCGACTATTACCGAAGCATATGAAACTAGATCATTTACATAAGTTATGAAAAATATAGGACCAAGCACACTTCCTTGTGGAACACCTTCCCAATTTCAGTGTGATCTGATTGAAATTCTCCATTTTGTTTTCTGTTACTCAAGTAGGATTTCAAGAGATCCAGGGCCTTTCCTCGGATTCCAAAATTCTTGATCTTGTGAAACAAAACTGATTGATCTACATAGTCAAAAGCTTTACTGAGATCCAAGAAAACAATAGTGGGACAACGAAATGTGTATTCCTAAGTATCTATTTTATTGCTTTTCGCCACAACTGACACACTTCCACAACCTGGTATTACGTGTTGCTATTGATTGTTCGAGAATTTATGTGATGAATAAATAATAAAGTTGGAAGTTGCCAACTTCACCTATAGAAAACTTCATCTGCAATTCACAGAATGGGAAACCTGTGGATTGTTTGGATCCATTCACTGAACATAGTTTATTCATGACCGGAATCGAATAACGAAGGTATAGCTGAGTGATATTATGTATACATACAGGGTAATCTTTGGTAGAAGTCCATATTGCTTGAAGTGGAGTGAAATATTTCAAAGGAAGGAACGAATGCTCGAAATTATCTCCACAAATTTCAATAATGTTGTTACATAATCATAAGGGACATGTTTCGGTCTTATAAAAGACCATCTTCAGCCTAATTGAAAGTTCTACAATTCCAAAACAAAATTAAAGATGAAGTGAAAGTATTTTGTTTGTGTTATTATTTCAAAAAAATCTCATCGCTCATGGAATGTCAAATTTCGAGCAATGACAGCTCTGTCCAATAGATGAGCATTACTTGACAGGAAACCAGATGGCTACAAGCCGAAGAAATCGAAAATGCCGCTGTTTCTGATACAGCCGTAGAAAAATTATAGTGTATAACTTGCACGGAATACTAGTTTCCTACTCGAATTAATTTATCGCTTGGAGCGCACGAAAGGAAATCCCTATAATGTTCAAAGAACATCGTGCGTTCCTAGGGAGGATAGGGACAGGAGGTAGGTATTGGAATTTTTTTTGAACTTCTGGAGATTATATGTTGTTGGGAATACTTCCTCAGGCAATGAATTCCAGAGCCTAGCCGTTCTATGAACGGAAGGATGTGCTGACTGGGCTTGTCTAGTTCGTCTGACTGGTATTGCTAGTGAAGGGATGATAGCAGAGATTTCCGAAGAATATTTCCCGTGGAAGTATCGATAAAAAAGTGAAAGGTCGCCGACCTTCCTACGGTGTTCCAATGATGTCAAAGAGTGAGGGAGTGTGGCGTCACCCACCAGGCGAATGGCTCTTCTCTGGATGGAATCTTAGAGCATCAGCGCATGTTTTGGTGCTGAACCCCATATGTGGTAACAGTATTCTAAAACAGGCCGTATCTGCGCTTTGTAGATCATGAGAAGCTGTTGAGGTGTAAAGTAGCTTTTTGCACGGAACACGAATCCGAGTTTTTGTGAAACAGCTTTCGCGATCCATCTGACATATGATTTTCCTATGAGAGTATTGCTGATAGCCTTGATCTGATAGTAATACCGAGCATAGATATAGTGGCCTTGGTGGAAATGGTGGTACCAGACATTGATATATCAATCTCAATCCATCAAAATTGCGTCGTTAATAATATATATAATGGGTATATTTTTCACCTTTCCTTTGAAATGTGTTTATGAGTCGTATTTTATGAGTGCTGTAGATGTGCTGGGAATTGTAACATTGGCACGACTGCATTATTTATTTGACGTTGTTCAGCAGTGAATATGCAAATGTTTGTTTCCATATGCGATACACACACCACACAAGACCCTCAAAGTTTCGAAATCTGCTCAGGTACACACATTCGAGCAAATCAGGTCAGGAGTTGAGGAATAGATCAGTGGAAATCCAGGAAAATCAATATAACTACCATTTTTTCTCATCTCCTGGAGCGCACGAAAGGAAATTCCTATAATGTTCGGAGAACATCGTGCGTACTTAGGAAGGATAGGAAGAAGTGGTAGGTATTTGATTTTTTTCAACTTTTGGTGAAGTGTTATTCGACATATTTCAAGATTGACAACGAAATGATGTGCTGACTGGGGTCGAGTTCGTCTGACTGGTATATTGCTAGCGATGGAGTGATAGCAGAGATTCTTGAAGAACATTTCCCGTGGAAGTATCTATAGAAAAGTGAAAGGTCGCCGACTTTTCAACGGTATTCTAATCAGGTCGAATGGTTAGCGAGTGTGGCATCACCCACCAAACGAATGGCTCTGTAGATAATGAGAAGCTCTCTCTATTTATCTTTCAGAATTCAGAATAAGATGAAGACATGTAATCCGTTTTGATCAATAATGAATAGTTTCGACACAAAAATATCCTAAAGTTGAAAAAGCTCGATTTTGAACAACCTATATCTCTGTAATAATTCTTGCTATACCCAAAGTATGAGATACATTGTTGAAATGAGCTCTTCAGGGAGAATCTGACAATACAATGACATAATTACAGGGTGTTCCATTTGAAATATCGAAGTTGATACTACTTCCTGGCATAAACGGCAATGCTGCATTGCTGACACTGTTTTTGATCGATAGACCAAGAGCAACTACTTGAGTAACCCAATTTTCAGAATGATCCTATACAGGGTGTTTCAAAAAAACCTGACCCCCTTACTATAGGGTAGGTAGAACACTGCAAAATAAGTTGGGTTTACTCAGTAAAAAAGATTCGTTATCAAGATACATCGATATATCGATTTGAAAATGATGAAGTGATAACTGTTGCTGGTATAAAGCTATGTATTAGAGTGAGTATTATGAAAAATTTTCACCTATTTATTGAAAACCGAAAACAACAATTCATTTCTGATGCTGAACTTATTGATTTAACAATGAATCACAATAATAACATCGAAACAGATTTGACTAAGAACATGGATTACACAGTTTTGTTGTATCTTGAGCAGAAAGTCTATGCTACACAGGTAAATTCACGTCAAGAGTTGTAAGACATAATTGAACATCACTAAAATGACCTGTAACAGCTGATCACCAATTCTTTCTTCGAAACATAGGACATTTTGAACGCTTACCTTAACTGATTCAATATTTCATGTTTCAAGTCAAATATCTCTTTTATATTGTTTTTGAATCTGAATAAATAGGTAATTGAACTCAAAAAAATTTACTTTATACCATCATCAGCTATATTACTCCATTATTTCCAAATCGAAAAATTCCGAAAACGGAACATAGTAACGAGTTTCACCACAAGCACCTTTTTGGTGTAAAATTGAATGATGTTCAAGTTCATATAGGTCGCGTGCAAGAACTGTCAGATGACTGACCCTGGAGGCAAAACATATTTGTTTACAAGTGATCGGAATAGTTTTCCACAATTATTTTGGCATATGAATCGTATTTTTCCGCTATTCATCAATTCGCTAATGCCATCACATTGTGCTGTTGTAAAATGCACAAAAACTGCAGCGGAAGATGAAGAAATTCGGATGGTACATTATGATTCAAAAGTAAGTACCTACTATAGTCACTCATAGTTTTCATTTTTGAAATTTGGTTATTTCTCTGATTTCTCATCGGAATTCCTTCTGCAATAGGATCAGCTAATAGAAATATACCTGAAATTTCTAGAATAATGCAAGAAGATTGGATTCATGCAATCAATCGGTAGGACTGGTCTGACATGCTGACGATTGTGTGTGTTGTAGACATTTTCAATCTATTAGCAGCATCAGCTTGTATTGCAGAAGTGGCAGAAGGCAGAAGGAATTTTAATAAGGAATGACAACATTTCATAATGCTAACTATGTGAGATTACTATTTACCTGAAAAATCATATTCCCTAGTCTCTTGCTGCATTTTTTGTGCATTGTACAACAGCACAATGCGAAGGCATGCTTGAATTAATGAATAACGGCAAGAAACACGATTCGTATGCCAAAATATTGTGAAAAACTATTTCAACCTTTTGATTCCTCTATAACCAAATAAAAAAGTGAGGTTGTGTTTCAATAATTCACAGAAGAATGAGGTTGTGTTTCAATATTTTGCCTCCAGGGTCGGTCTTCGTGCACGCGACCTATTATATTTGAATTGAAAAATATAACCTCAAAAAATGATGTTTTAAACTACTCGGTACGAACCCTGTAACTAGCGCCCTCTATGAGAGTCAGATATAAAAACAAATTCATGTGATTTGTCAGATTTCAAGAAACATTCATACAAAATCTCATTACAATGTTGCCAGTAGTTTCGACCTAATCGTGAAAAATGTGTAAAAAAATCATTTTTTCAACAGCTTGTATCATGAGAACGAATGCTATTACGACATGTTTTTACTCAGCAAACCCAAATTATTTTGCTGTGTTCTACCTACCCTAGCAAGGTGGTCAGGTTTTTTCGAAAACACCCTGTATATGTCCCGTGGAAGTATCTATAGAAAAGTGAAAGGTCGCCGACTTTTCTACGGCATTCTAATGATATTGAAGAGTTAGTGAGTGTGGCATCACCCACCAAGCGAATGGCTGTGTAGATCATGAGAAGATCTCTCATCTTTCTCTTTTTCTGTCTCTTTCTCTCTATATCTCGATTTTATTTTGTTTGTTTCAGTGACAGCAGATAAAACTGAATCAGAAGATGAGGATGGCATAGAGTTAGAGGCAGATCATTCTGAGAACATAGAAGACTGTGATTCGAAGAAAACTTCGATAAAACTGAAACATTTCGGTGGCCCTCTGTTGGCGCAGGCGTAAGTATTTTTTGCGATATCGCTGATTTTATCGATGTATACCTTGATATTGATGAATATCCAGACTTTGTGTATTACAGAGAAATTTCAACTAGCCAACAGGATTTCTTCAAGATGTTGGACGAAAAAATACAAAATGTAAGTGATATTTACACACAAAATAATATAAACGAATCCCACTTCATGCGGGTATTGCCAGCGAATTTTTCAGGAAAACTTATAAAGTTAACAACAAAATTGATGGAAATCGCCCTAAGCTTCATAGAGATACATTCTTTCAAAACTTCAACACGCTATAACATGAAAACAATAAAGAAATATTGAATAACAATATTTCGTACCTCTCGACTCATCCTGTATTGTAAATTGCATTGAATTACATCCTCCCGAAAATGTTCTGCGTGGTATATAGCCAGGAAAGTAGTTGTTTTTCTCTTGTTATCTACCATTTTCGTTCATTTTGTGAACGATTGGGGTAATGACTTCTAGTTGCTCTATATCTCTCTCTCTTACCATTCACTTTTAGTATTTTGGCTCTTTCCTGGTTGAAAATTTACTGTGTCGATCAGTACTGACCTATTTTTTATAGGAAAATGTTAAAAAGTATTGAAAAGGAATATTCTCAGATATAATAATGAACATAAAAAATGGATATACATATACAGTGTGTCCCACTTACCATGCTCACCATGGGTATCTTTTTAACGGTGAGAGATACGAGGTCGGTTAAATGACACCAAATGTGGAGTTTGTCAAGGCCAACTATAATATGAAAAAATATTCTGATAAAATCTATTCGTTTTTTTTTATACGCAAAAAACAGGTTTTGATCATTTTCATATCTCCTCCGTAACATCTTTATTTATGAAAATATTCAAATAGGAATTTCACATTCTCATGGCAGTTTTTCAAAGTGATTTCGAAAAAAATATGAAATTCATACCAACCCTTCTGGAATTTGAGATATCAGCACCATCTTTAGTTTTTCAAATGTAGATCATAGCTCACTATGACTTAGTTACAAGGAACTTTTTTTTCTCTTACAGATGATATGTCGCAGTAATAGGTTTGTGTTGATAACAACGGAGTTATCGTCATTTATACAAAAACAAAAAACTATTTGGAAGCCGCCATCTTGAATTTATAAATTTTAACAAAAAAATCGTGATCTCCGACCTCAAAAACCCCCACTTACCAATTTTGTATGGAATCGGACCAAATCTTGTCCGCCATCTTGGAGCAGCCATTTTTTAAAATTGATCGAATGAATTCATTTTGGATATCAAATCCTCATCAGTAACCTGAAGTCCAGTTGATTCTTCACGATATACAAAAAAAAGGAAGGAAAAAGTACACTTGTCATTTTTTTCCTTATCAATAAAAATCATACTAAACAATCACCGCCTCGTCTCATACCAAAATATCGGTCGGTTCTATACAACTTTAATTTGCCCAAAATGAAAATTCATGGAAAACCCTGGAAAACCTCACGAGTTTTCTTGTAGGGTCCTGATTACAACTCGGAAAGCGAGTCCGAAAGGGCGGCAGAAACAACGCGACTGCGCGCCCTTCTCAAGGACTGGGAGACAGCCAGCATCGGCTCCAGATCTCTGCCCCCCACCCCTCGAAGGCGCCCCCCCAGGTCGGCTGACGGGGGAGCGTACGTATCGCAGGTGAGGACGCAAGAATCACTTCATTCGCTACCTCACATATTACTTTATTTGTTACCTTACTCGTTACCTCAATTGTTACCTTTACTTGTAACCTCATTTGTCACTTCACTTGTTACCTTGTTACCTTACGTGTTTCCATACTTGTTTCCTAACTTGTTACCTCATTACTTGTTACCTTACTCTACCTTACTTGCTACCTTACTTGCTACCTTACTTGGTACCTTACCTGTTACCTTACTTGTTACCTTACCTGTTACCTCACTTGTTACTTGTTGTCTTACTCCTCAACTCACTCTACCTTATTCGGTACTTTAATACTTGTTATCTCATTTTCACCTCACTCTTTACCTCACTTTAGTTATTTTTATTTCTATCTTGCCCAATTCGACAGCTGAGTTTTCACATATATTGGGTTATCATCTCTATTATTTCCTCACTGGTCAACTTACTTACTTACTTATAACCTCTCTTATCAAAGTTAACTTGTTGTCTCACCTGATTATTCACTTGGATATTCACCTTTTCCGATCAGATTCATATTTATTACTTCAATAGTGCCATGATTGTTATATTTTTTCTTTTTTTTTACGTATTTTACTGTTTCATGTTATACAGGGTGTTTCATAATTGAATGCTGACCCTAAAGGGCGATGATTCTTGGATGATTTTAAGAAAAATTCTTCATGTGAACATAGGTCCGTAACAGCTTCGTTTCTGAGATACAGGATGTTGAAATTGACCAAAAAAATCAGTTATTCCCCAATATCTCTGGAACCGCTCTGGCTTTTTCTTCAATTTTGATACATGCCGAGTATGAATAGAAATACATTTTTTCCATAATAAAGGATTTCTTAATTTCCATCAGTGGCGTCCCTGTTAACATACCCTGTCATATTTTTCATCAAAATATTGATACGCCACTGTCTTTTTTCCAAATGAATATTATTTTTGTAATTATCCTCTATCTTCTCGTAAAAATGGTCTCTTGTCTTTTTTTCGTCCGGCAAACGGTTTTTGAGTTAGAAAATAAAATGCATTCATTTGCTTGTCCCTATTCGATTTTTACTCTTAGTCATAATTTCACAATTGTGGTAACCAAAAGATCTGAGCAATATTTTTATAATTTTATGGTAACTATTTTTAAGTATTTGTAATGAAGAAAAAAAGCCAGAGCGGTTTCAGAGATATTGGGGAATAACTGATTTTTTTGTTAAATTTCAGCATACTGTATCTCAGAAACGAAGCTGTTACGGACCTATGTTCACATGAAGAATTTTTCTTAAAATCATCCAAGGATTATCACCCTTTAGGATCAGCATTCAATTATGAAACACCCTGTATATTTAACAGAACAAGGCGGATCAATAAGAGATAATAAGAGATATACTAAAGAATTGTAAATAAACTCCTCATGGCAAATACTCATATTTTTGGAAAGCGCAAAACATCAATGTTTCAAATATGAAGAAACATACAGGGTGTTCCATTAAAAAACATAGCTTTGGGTGAAATCTAAATAATGACAGCTTGTTATGAAAATCTGACTATACCACTGAATTTCACGTGGAAAACTGTTTGAGTGACTATTTCAACTTTTTCTATGAGTTGAAAGATAGCTGAGATACAGGGGGATCCCAAAATGCAACATTTTCGATTTCGCCCTGTATCTGTTGCGGTATCGTGGGTTTTACAAAAAAGAAGCCAATCACAATTGTCTATCTCTGAAAATAAGTGAGATATTCCGTAAGGGGATTGAAAATGGGATAGCTTGTATGTATTGTACATACGTAATATATTTCCAGATAAGCAAACATTTACAGCAAACATTCATTTAGATTTTTATGTATGAAACTTCAGTTCTATTTTCATCTTACCAAACATTCAATTCTGATATCTCGTCTGTTTTTCAGTTTATTTATTTTCCACAGCAATATTGATTCGGATAAGATATCAGGAGTAATTCCGAAAACCCCACACAGAACCCGAGATTGCCAAGGCCCAATAAGTTTCACCGAAAAATCCAGAATTTATAGCTCACAAAAGCTGTAAGCTCCTATTAGAGCTTTTCTTCTGGAATCGTATTATGTATTTCGGCTAATGGACAAATTTTCCAATACCACCGATTCAATATTCTTTCTTCTTGTTGCAACACAGACGCAGCTCTAACTATGAGTACTATAATCCTTTATAGGACCTCTGTATTTATTTGTCAGGTGATAATAATAATATTAATGATAAAATGATATTCTCATTCGAGTCGTATCAAAGCTAATCATGTAGGTATTCATACTAACAATGGCTATCAAGGAACTATACCGCCATATTCAGTGCTGTTTCCCAAGTAGAACATATACCGTATTCATTAGACCAGCCATGCTTTCCAGAGTTCTGAAGTTATGACATGTTGGATTCAAGAATTGTAAAATTTTTTGATATTTTAAGAATTTTCCACTTTCTGTTATAGTATTCTACCTAACAAGTACGGGAAGTCACTTTACGCACTTGTTACAATATTTTTTAACTATACAGGGTGTTTCGAAAAAACCTAACCCCCCATGCTAGGGTAGGTAGAATATTGCGAAATAAGTTGGGTTTGCTCAGTAAAAAAATGTCGTAACGCCATCCGTTTACAAGGTGTTGAAACAATATTTTTTTAACACATTTTTTACGATTATGTTGATACTACTGGCAAGATTGTGATGAAATTTTGTATGGATGTTTCTTGGAATCTGACACATCGCATGCATTTGTTTTTATATCTGACTTTCATAGAGGGCGCTAGTTACACGGTTCGTACCGAGTAGTTTTGAACATAACTTTTTTGAGGTTAGATTTTTCAATCCAAATTGATTTTTGGTGTGAACTTGAACATCATTCAATTTCACACCGAAACTCGATACTGTGTTCCGTTTCCGGAATATTTCAATTTGAAAATGATGAAGTGGTAACTGTTGCTGATGGTATAAAGCTATGTATTAGAGTGAGTATTAGGAAAAATTATCATCTATTTATTGACAACCGAAAACAACAATACATTTCTGATGCAAAACTCATTGATTCAACAATGAATCACAAGAATAACATCTAAACAGATTTGACTAAGAACATGGATTACCTACACAGTTTTGTTGTATCTTGGGCAGAAAGTCTATGCTATATAGGTAAATTCACGTCAAGAGTTGTGAGACATAATTGAACATCACTGAAATGACCTAACAGCTGATCCTCAACTGTTCAGAAGAATAATACAATCCTTAAAAAAGAATATAGAATCGTGTATTCCTCGAAACGTAGGACATTTTGAACACTTACTCTAACTGATTCAATATTTCATGTTTCTAGTCAAATATATCTCTTAATTTTTCACTTATGATTCTTTGTTTCATCAATAACTTCAGCACAAGGATAATTTTATTGTTTTTGAACCTGAATAAATAGGTAATTGAACTCAATAAAATTCATTTTATACCAACATCATTACTACTCCATTATTTTCAAATCGAAATATTCCGAAAACGGAACATAGTATCGAGTTTCACCAGGAGTACCTTTTTGGTGTAAAATCGAATGATGTTCAAGTTCATATCATATTTGGATTGAAAAATCTAACCTCAAAAAAGTTATGTTCAAAACTACTCGGTACGAACCGTGTAACTAGCGCCCTCTATGAGAGTCAGATATAAAAACAAATTCATGCGATGTGTCAGATTTCAAGAAACATCCATACAAAATTTCATCACAATGTTGCCAGAAGTTTCGGAATAATCGTAAAAAATGTGTAAAAAAATTATTTTTTCAACACCTTGTATCATGAAAACGGATGCCGTTACGACATTTTTTCACTGAGGAAACCCAACTTATTTTGCAATGTTCTACCTACCCTAGCAAGGGCGTTAGGTTTTTTTGAAACACCCTGTATAGCGTGCGAAATAAACCAAGTCCCCTTTTCCGCACTAATTTGAAAGTTGAAAGTTTTTTCCGCACTAGTGCGAAAAAGTGACTCTTTCAACACTAAAATGCGTGCGGAAAAGTAAACGTATCCTCATGCTGCAGAAGTTCGTGATCGTATTCAATACCCTTTAGACTTTAGAGTAAGTCTGAATTAAGACCAACTGACACTGCATCACTCGCCCTTCAGGCTCGTACCACAAACTTTCACATTCGTGAGAAAAGTTTAACTTTCCCCACTTGTTGCACAATATACTAATTTCATTTAATAACGTCTACATGACAAAATCAAAATAATATAGTCTGGTCAAATAACAATGATGCAATAGTCTGGTCAAATTACAAAGATGCATTTCATAGTGCTTCAACTTCAACAGGAACAATGCATGCGTTTCGGTAGACATTTGTTCGACCACTATCATACCGACCTTCCTCCATTTCCAGATCCCCCAGAGCGTCATCCACCAATCGTACGGCGTGGCGCAAACGCCCTTCCGGCCCACGCCCTACGCCAACCCCAACTACGTGTCGCAGAGTCCCTCGCACCAGATGGCGTACCCTTCGGCGATGCAGTACCAAGCCATCAGTCCCATGTACGCCAGCCAGCCGACGTACCAAGCACCACCGCTCGGGTACCAAGCGCCGGCTCTAGGGCATCAAGCGCCGGCTCTAGGGCATCAAGGGCCGCCCGTCGGGTACCAGTCGCCCCCTCTGGCGAGACACACAGTAAGAAAAAATACCGTCCAGACAGTACCAGATATTTCATGAATATTTCCACGTATCATCTGGAATATTCTAGAAATAGCCACAACATTGTCGTTCTAGATGACAACCTAGTTAGGTAGTTAGTAGGCAGGAGCTATAATATTGTCTGTTCATTGAAAAGACAATTGAAGAAAATATGTAGTTCAGAGACATCTACGTGAACTAAGTAAACTAAGTTATTTATATTTTATTCCTAACCCATAACATTTTTCTTGGTCCTGTCAAGTTTGTAAATAAAAATCTGTCATGTTGAAACCCGAAAATGAAACATTATCACGAAAGATATTATCAAGTATGAAAACCATCTACCTATACTTGAATGGAAGAAGGGAGATGTTTAGGCAATGCTGTATTAGGTTGACTTATGATGCAACTTGAATTTAAGTTGGAACTGTTGAAACTTTGGAAACTCATCAGTGCTTTTACATTTTTTCGACATGCAAGCCAAGCAGAAAGGTAGGGGCTGCTTATTTCCTTCTATATTTTTGATAAGTTACTATATAATTCATGAAATTCCGTTATTTGCAGTGAAAACATGTCTTTAGTGATGTAAACTATGTACACATCGGAATCACTATACTTGAAAATTTCAGGTACCTACCTACAGCGAAGAGTACCTACATGAATAGCTTTTCAGTTGAAAAACGAAAAACTATGAGTGATACAAACAAATTGATGTGGAAGAATCACATCAGGAATCATTATGTGAGTAATGTTCAGAAGAAATGTACCAGAAGGATGATGATTTTTGAGAACAGAATGGAAAATTTCCCAACTGAAATGAATATATAGAAGCAATAAGGTTAGACTCAATCTGTTTATTTCATCAATGTCTTATGGATATTCTGCTCCAAACACAAAATATCAAGATGCTGGGATATTTAGAATTTTTTTTATTGGAAAATAACTTGTATATGTACGAATGACAATACAAATATATTTTTTAATAAATTGAATATAATTATGAAGAATTATTGCAATTTTTATTCTACTAATTTGTTCTCCTCTGATACCCTGTTTATTATTGTACAGATGTATTGGCAGGTAAGTTTGAAAACACTATATATATTGTACCAAAGGTATATAGGTTAAATATGATGATGGAAAGCACATCTGTGGTTGAGTACATATTGGAAAAAAATAGAAGAAGAGAATATCAACCTAATATGGTCTATTTTGACATAAACAAATGAGCTCTTTCCATTTTCTCATCCCCAGCGCCTCTTGACAGACAGACATATTTTGATTGAATGAACAGACAATATTATACCTCCTCGCACTAGGTCGCCTACTAGGTTTTCATTTAGATCGACAATGGCCACAATATGAAGTGCTCAAAAAAAAAGTGGACCACTGAAATACAGTTCTCAACACACTAAATGGACCACTCATAATTCGACTGTATTTCGAAGACTTGTATTTCTTGAAAAAATTGACCGATCTTCATGCGGTTTTCGATATCAGATGTGATATTTCATCGGCTTCTAAGGGGCTAGAACACTCTGAAAAAGTCCGCAGAACAAAACTTACACAGGGTGTAAAGTGGAACCATTACACTATGGTCTACATTTCCAATGCTACCACTACTCGAAATTTTTTTCTGATCTAAAGTCAGTCATATTTTATGTTACACTGGGACCTCATCTCGGGACGTTTTCGTGATTCCTCCTTATTTGGCCATTGGAACAAAAATTCGATTTTTTGTTTCGAAAGTCTTGCATTTCTTGAATTTTTTCACTAGAACTCCACCTGAGCTGACTATTGGAAAGAACTGTTCCCATGTTTTATTTGTGGAGGACAATGAAAGACGAAAAAAGTACTATTGTGTGATTTTCAAAAATTTTCATTTTCTCTACCAGTGGCACCGTTACGGGAATAGTATTGTTCATATTTTACTTAATAGTGAGCAACGACGGGAAATTTTCAAATTTCGTACAATGCTATGAAAGGCTATTCAATTATGCACAAAAAAGATCCATCACTGGATTACCATAGTATGTAACATTTTGAAATTTTTATACAGATTCAGTCACATAGCAGACTGAATTTTGCCATTACGTGAAGATACAGGGTGGACAAAAAAGAATGTATGCATATTTTCAACATTGACACCCTGTATCTCAAAACTTGGACAATCATTTAGGAACACCCTGTATATGATACAATTTTGTAGTGGAATTGTTCGATGAATCTAGTGACTGGCACATATTTTACTAAACGTTTGGTATTTACTACCGACTATTTCTCTGAGTGTATTGCCCACTCAAAAATGATCACAGCAATGTTTATTTTCATGCATAATAGCCATCATCATGCGCTCATTGAATAACGTACTATTTCACTGTGCAGTACTCGGGGTACGGCCAGCAGAGCGGCCCGATTCACGCCTACTCGAGCAACGTGGCGAAGCACGCGGGGTACGACGCCCAGACGGCATACTCGCCGTCGCACAAGGGATACGGCGTACCAGTGGCGGTACCGGCTGTGGTACTACCAGGAAGCGTTAGTGGCGGGGGGGTCGGCAAGGAGAAAAACAACGGGGAAGTATTGGTGAGTTTTCTATAATAAAAAAGTTTTTTTTTTCTTGTGTATTTTCATCAGATCTTTATGGGAAAACATAGTCAAATATTTATTAATGAATGAGTATAATGTACTATTTCAAGAGATGGCTGGAAATTTCGACCATCATCTGATAACGAAATGATATAATATGGTAAAACAGCATTCGATCGAGTCTGGCACCAAGGACTCCTCGCCAAGCTTCCATCTTATGGCTTGCCTCCCCAGCTATGTTCTCTGCTAGCTAGTTTTCTCTCAAACAGGTCTCTCCATGTAGTGGTCGACGGAGTTTCATCTGACTGTCTTACCATAAATGCTGGTGTTCCGCAAGGATCACTTCTAGCACCAACACTGTTTCTGCTTCATATCAACGATTTGTTGGAAGCAACTTCATGTCCAGTACACAGCTTCGCGGATAGTACCTCCATACCGGCTTCTCTTCCAGGGCTCCAATACCAGCCAGACAAATCCGAAACATAAATATGGACTTGGCAACAATTCTCGAATGGGGATCCAACGACTTGGTAGATTTCAATGCAAACAAAACACAAGCATGCCTTTTCTCTAGAAAAGCCGATCTCACTGTGCCAAACATAAGCATGTCAGGAGTAAACATACCTTTGAAGACATACATTTCGATGTTTGGTATTACTATCAGCAATAACTTTTCTTGGGAAAATTACGTGAAATCAATTGCTAAAAGTGCATCCCAAAAACTTGGTTTTCTGTTTCGGGCCAGGAGCTATTCCACTTCCAGTCAGCTGCTTATGATCTATAAGGGACAGATCCGGACTATGCTCTTCTGAAACATCAACAATTGTACCTCCCTTGGCAGTCCCCGCGAGATTAACCCGTCGAGTTGAGGCTTCGCACCCCTTCGTGGTCACTTTGGAGACCTGCAGAACATCTCTTTCCAAAGACTCGTTCATCCAACGAACAGCGAGGCTCTGGAACACATTGCCAAGGGAGGTGTTTCCCGAGGCATATAACCCCCAGAAATTTAAGAAGAACACCAATTCCTACCTTATTTCCCTTGGTTCTCACGAGGTTCTCTGAACATTACAGTATATCCCTTTTCGTTGGAACCAGAACATAAAAAGAATACAGTATGATGAAAATGTATGGAATAAATTTATAATTTCAGAAATGGGCGACATTTGGAAACATTCCTAAAACACATCAGTTTTAATTTTTGAAGCCTCATCTCATGATATTCATACAGTGTGACCCACTTCTAATGGAAGCACCCCTGTATCTTACGTAATCGCTGGGTGAGGATCCTGATATTTGCTGGAGCGAGAGATATATCAAAAATGCACTCTTTGACCACGAGTGGTCATCATTAGAGATATACACTGCTCGCCAGCAGCCATGGAACCACCCCAATTTCTGGAAAATGATATTAGGAGTTGAAATAGGTCAAAAATCACTTCAGATTCGGAATTAGGACGCCCAATTCACTATCTACTCATATTTTTCCTGGAAAATTTTCAGTTCTGAAAAATTAAATTTTGTCGCACTTTTTACGGAAGCACTCCCGTATCTTACGTAATTGACTTTATCTTTGGACTTTGCCTTCCTCCTGCAAATTTCAGAACCCTACCTCAATAATTACGTGAATCACTCTCGGCTACATTTAATGATCATATCTGTGGCAAGATATAATTTGCAACTTTCCCAGAAAATAGATCCGTTTCATTAATGAACGAATTCGTTAGCAGGCCCTGGAAGGGACACATAAAATAAAAAAAATAAAAACTCTTCAAAATTCCGACTTATATCTCGGAATTTTAAAATTCCGAGTTATAACTCGGAATTTTACATCCAATATTCCGAGTTATAACACGGAATTTTAAAATTCCGAGATATAAGTCGGAATTTTGATGTAAAATTATTAATTAAGAATTTTGAAGAGTTTTTATTTTTTTATTTTATGTGTCCCTTCCAGGGCTTCGTACAACCCTGATCCTTACACACTGTTCCTTTCCAGTACAAACCGCCCTACTCGAACGGAGACCTGCACCAGAAGAAGACCTACAACTACCAGCACGCAGTGCAGTACCAGCAGTACAAAGAAGCCAGGGAGCAAGTCCTGGCGCAGAACCAGCCAGCATACAGGGGCGCGCCGAGAAGTTACCAGAGCAGCGTGACGATCGCAGTGGCAGGCCAAGGGGGGCAGCAGGGCGACCCCAGCGCCCTGCAGCGGCAGCAGTACGAACTGACGTAGTAGGCCGGGTCGGTAGACAAGCAATTCGACGTTGAATCGACGTCATGGTGTCGTTATTCCAGTGAACTCAATATAAACACCTGGAAGGGAGACGGCCCTTCAGGGGGGTGTATTTTTCCTGTGTTTGCTCGTAGAATCTGCTGGTGAATTATTGCAAACTAATTATGGGATACCCTGTATAGTATTTATTGCACGACCCAAAAATTTCAATTGAAACAATCTTAGAATCAATTTGAATATCACTCAGTACTCACTGTACTGCCGCTTCTGAAAGGTGTAAAATCGCTTATTATACAGGGTGATCCACGGTGGATGACCTATTAGAAGTATCTGGAGAACGAAAAGACAGAACATTTCTAAAAATTGGGATGCTTTGATAATTGAACATTCTCTATCCGTCAAAAATATTATCATCAATACAGTGTTGCCACTTCTATCAGAAACAACTAGCAACTTTCTAATTTCAAATGGAACACCCTGTATTTTATTGCATTTTTAGATTCTTCCTGAAGAGCTGATTCCATCAATGCATCACACTTGGGGTCCAGCGGGAATGATTACAGAGATATAGGGTGTTCAAAATCGAGATTTTTCAATTTTAGGATTTTTTTGTGTCGAAACTATTCATTATCAATCAAAACGGCTTGCATGTCCCTATCTTAACTTTTGATTCGCTATCTACTGGAATTTAATTGGAAAAATACAGGGTGCTTCAAGATTCAGAATTCTGATCACCCTGTATCCGTTCCAATTAAATGTCAGTAGATAGTAAATCGAAAGTTGAGATAGGGACATGTAAGCCCTTTTGATCGATAATGAATAGTTTCGACACAAAAAAATCTTGAAATTGAACAATCTCGATTTTGGACACCCTATATCTCTGTAATCATTCCTGCTAGACCCCAAGTGTGATACATTGATGAAATCAGCTCTTCAGGAAGAATCTAAAAACGCAATGAAATACAGGGTGTTCCATTTGAAATTAGAAAGTTGCTAGGTGTTTCTGATAGAAGTGGCAGTACTGTATTGATGATAATATTTTTGACGGATAGAGAATGTTCAATTATCAAAGCATTCCATGTTTCAGAATGTTCTGTCTTTTCGTTCTCCAGACACTCCTAATAGGCCATCCATCGTGGATCACCCTGTATATTATGTATAGGTCGTGCAAAAAATGCTTCTACGATATAGGTATACTAAATATTGTTCATTATAATTGTGAAATGCTCCCCCCTGAGAATATTTCTGCGGACGCCACTGGGTCCAGTGTAGAAGTGAAACGGTTCGTTTTATTTGGATATTTCGAAATTTCGACCTTTATCTCATTATTGTCATTATACAGTGTGGAAACATATGATGGAATAAGCACGTACCTACTTCGCGCATTGTTATGTAAAATATTTGAGATATTTATATTTCATCTTTATGGTCCTCAATCGAGCAAACATCCACGAAATCATTTGTTCCTGGATGTTCAACAATTACTTTGTTTTATCTCTTGGAGCTTGGAGCGCACGAAAGGAAATTCCTATTATGTTCGTGGAACATCGTGCCTATCTAGGGAGGATAGGGGGAGGCCTATGATTTCAAATCTGTGAAAATCCAATATGGCGTCCATAAAAAAACCGAAGTTGTAGGTGATATCTCAGAAATTTGACATTATGATGGAAAACTGACAAGACCATTGAGAAGAACACTTGAAAGTGCTATGAGAATGTTGAAGTCATTTTTTCATAAAATCAATAGTTTCCGAGATATTCGAGAAAAACAAAAATACAAGATTTAATTTTTTCTCAAATAACTCAAGAATGAATGAAGCTAGCCTGGATTTCTTGATAGATTCTGATTCAAAATTATATTTGCTACAACTTTGCTAATTTAAGCGTTTCTCTATCTCTCATACTTACTGAGATCCCAATGGTGAGGATCGAATTTGGGACACACTGTATAGGTCAACAACATCTACAAATAATACCTCAGTTGGCTCAGTTCTCATTCACAGCTTGTTATTGTGAATATTGTGTTAGAAAATCTATATAGTGTATAGGTATATATTTTCATTGTTCTTCGGGTATTTGTTTGTTTATTTTTAATAATAATTTGAATAGTAAATAAGATTTTTGGTGGATCATCAGAAAAATAATGGTCCAAATGTTTTTTCTCTGAACAATGAACTCTGTTTTTTTTTTCGAAATGCATCAAAACTCTTGGAAATGTGATATTCTATTATTATAGATTGTAAAAATAGATGCTTTATACAGGGCGTTTCAAAAAAACCTGATCCCCTTGCTAGGGTAGGATGAAGAACACTGCGAAATGAATTGAGTTTCTTCAGTAACGAAATGTCGTGAAGACATTCGTTTTCAAGATACAAGGTGTCGAAAAAAACATTTTTCAGACATTTTTTACGATTATGCCGAAACTACTGGCAACATTGTGATACAATTTTGTATGGATAGATACATGGTCCAGATATTTTAGTCAAAATTTCATGTGAACTCCAACATCATTCAATTTAACACCAAAAAGGTACTCTTTAAAAAACTCAATACTGTGTACCGTTTTCGCAATATTTTGATTTGAAAATAATGGAGTAATATTTCATTCAGATTCAAAAACAATAACATCAGTCTTGTGCTAAAGTTCTATTGATTGAACAAATAATCACAAGTAAAAAAAAAATATGAATTTGACTACAGACATAAAATATTGAATCAGTCCTCCGTTTTCATTAATTCACGATTTTTCTTTTCTTCTTAAGAATGCAATATTCTTCTAAATTGTTGAAAATCATTTGAGTCATGTTCAATTGGTGTTGCAACTTTTGACAAGACATTACTCACCTTTATATTATAGACTTTTTCCATAAGAACAACCAAACGATCCATGTCTCTAGTCAATTTTATTTCAATGGTATTATTGTAATTCATTATTCAATCAATAAGTTCAGCATCGGAAATATATTGTGGTTTTCGGTTTTCAATAAAATTAAAGGTAATAGTCATTAATATTCAATCGAATACATAGCCTTATACCAGCAACATTTATCACTTCATAATATTCATATCGAAATATTCCGAAAACGGTACACAGTATGTATCAAGAGTACCTTTTTAGTGTAGAATTGAATGATGTTCACATTAAATTTGGATTGAAAAATCTAACCTTGTACCCACCGTGTATCTATAGCACCCTCTATGAGTGTAAGATATAAAAACAAATTCATGTGATGTGACAGCTTTCATAACACACATGTTGCGAGTAGTTTTGACATAATCGTAAAAATATGTAAAAAATATTTTTTTCAACACCTGGTATCTTGAAAACGGATGTCGTTACGACATTTTGTTGCTGAGCAAACCCAACTTATTTTGCAGTGTTCTACCTACTCTAACAAGGGGGGTCAAGTTTTTTCGAAACACCCTGTATAAAAATTATATGTATTATAAATGTTTTATGTTAATAAAGCCAAAGTAGGTATCGGGTGTCCTGAAAGGTCATGCCGTAAAAGATATGGCTGATAGAGAGAGACAAAATAATGTTAGTACTTCATAAAAAAAATTATATTGCAGGTTACAGAGTTATTGACCTTGAAAGTTTCTTCAAGTCCATACATAACATAATGATGCATATTATATCTGTATACTCATCATTACTAAACTCATCTATGCTGTTACCAGAGTATTAAATACACTAATTTATACCGTTCACTATTGTTGTATTGTTGTAAAACGATTTATATCAAGCGGTATATGACCATGACTGTCTCTCTGACACTCGCTGCTTGTCTGACTTACGACAGCTGTCCGGCCGTCCTTATATATCAGATCCCTTGGCAGGCTTTGCTTGTCGAACGTTCTCGAATGATCTTCCGTACCCTTCCTTTGTTTTGTTTTTTTTTTTTTTTTTTTATCGCTTGGAGCGCACGAGAGGGAATCCCTATAATGTTCAAAAAACATCGTGCGTTCCTAGGGAGGATAGGGACAAGAGGTAGGTATTGGAATTTTTTTTGAACTTCTGGAGATTATATGTTGTTGGGAATACTTCCACAGGCAATGAATTCCAGAGCCTAGCTGTTCTATGGATGAAGGAAGAAGAAGAAGGTTCTAGAACAATATATCTCTCTCTAATATTGTTCCATCAGGTTCATTCGGGTTCGAACTATTACTGTTCTAGAACTGTCAGGAGTTAGTAGAATCGGTCGCGTTCGGGTTTTGTGGAACATAATTATTCTGGGACGGTCCTAAAACTACAATGACCTGCTCATTGCTCTGGAGCATGAACCGTTCTAGGATTATTTTTGGCGCATGCTCATTTCATTTAGTTTTCGATTCTGTCTGTTGTAGCGTAACGTCATAATGATATATTTTTGTTTATTCTACTGTTTATTGCTCTTTTCAATATTTTCTCAATATTATGGAGCTAGTACATTCATTTGATAGTAGTAGATCTTCATCTTCAGGAAGCAGTGGTGAAGGAGTTACTTGCTGAAGTTATACGAATGCTCCACAGATAGTTTCCAGAGATACAGGTTCCAAACTATTGTTTTTTTTGAGAATTCTGAATGGAAGTTATGTTCTCAGAGATTCTCTTTTGCCCCGTTCGGGTTTTCATAATTTGTGAATCGTTCTGGAACAGTCCTAGGGTCCGAAACGAAGGCTAGTAAACGTCATTGTCCACCGAAACGCATGTCTCTGATGACTACTATAATAGCGCATGGCGCATGCGTATCATGCCACCAAATCCTTATGGATATTCATTTGTTTCATATTTTTGGCTTCATCCTGGCACCCGTTATGATCCGTATTGTTTATTAATACGTATATGGTCGTACTACTGGTACTCCTGCCTTCCTGATGATGGTCTAGTGCCCCATTGGGGAATATCATTACAATACTGTCAAAATAATTTGTATGTCAATTTTGACAATGACTGCAACTACCACGATGTTATTGAATAAATAGAGTTTACATTACCTTTTGAAATGGGTGAGATGTATGTTTCAAAAATTCGATATCCTCTAGAACGGTACAAGAAATCGATTAAAATAAGGTATCGTATTTTTGTAGAAGAGAGATGAAGGACTCAAACGGTGGAAGCAAAATGTCAAATTTGTCACCTCTGTCAAAAATTCCTCCATCAGAAGGAAAAAAAATCGTTCCATCCTGTATGAAACATTATCACCCAACAACCTTTTACAATAGACATTTTGTTTATACGAAGTACTAACATTATTTTTACTCACTGTATCAGCCCTATCATTCCACACGACATAACCTTTCCGGACACCCTGTATACATATAGGTACATACAGGATGTTATTCAAGTATGTGGCCAAACTCCAAGGGACGATTATTTGGATTGATCTAAGACAAAAAGTTGATATAAAAAGATTTCCTGAAATGCTTTGTTTTCAAAATACAGGGTGTTGAAGTAAGTTGGGAGTATTGATTGTTGTTTTTCATGATTACCATGTATGAGTCGTCATGATGGCAAAATTTAACCTGGTTGTTGACTGAAAATGTCTCGAAATTTCAAAATAATATACTCATTGAGGTTATGAGTGATACCAATGGTTGTTTTGAGGCCACCTACAATTAAAATTGGAAAACAGAATTTTAAGTCAATAATAAAAAAATTTCTTAGTGAAACTCTGACACCCTGTATATTACATATTCGTAATTCACGTATCCGGTGATTGAGGTATACTCAGAAAAGAAGCTCAATCATATATGACTTTTATCGAATTAATTAATAACAATCTTGACAACATACATAAAAATCTCAAAACATACAGAGTAAATAGAATTCAACTGAATACAGTGTGAATATGGTTCATTTAGATTAGACCAAGAGCCGCCAGCAAATTTAGACCGTGATCTGATTACGAAATGATATACAGAGAAGTGCACAAAAAACGGCCAGGGCTGTAACTTTTGAATTATTCGAGATAGGGTTTTGAAAATTGGTGGGCAGCTAGTATACCAAATCGCTCATTAATTGACGAAACAATTTTTGTTCTATCACTTCCGGTTTTACTGGAAACTACACCAACTTTTGATTTTTAAATGAGACACCCTGTATCGTATTCCATAATTCCAGGTAGCCGTGCGGACAGAGTGTCTATATTCTAATTCGCATTCGCTTGCCGGTCGTGGGTTCGATCCCTGTCGACTGCAGAAATTTTTCTGATGGCCCAAGAAAGTGTTTGGGATCACACGTTAAAAGGTAAGGCCCCCGTCATTCCTTGCTCGCACAAGACTTTCGAAGACTTTTGAGGGTTGCTCGTAAGGGGGCAACCGAATGACGGATATAACAAATTTTAGAACAAACAAACAACAAACAAACAAATAATCGGTTAGGAATTGTCAGATGTTAAATATTCGTAATTCGCCTACCCGGTGATTGATTATTTAACACTGTATCTTGAAAACGAAACTTTTCTGGAACAGTTTAATATAAATTTTCCGTCTTAGAATCACGCAAATAATCACCCTTTGAAGTTTGGCTACATACTTTAATAACACCCTGTGTATAGACAAATTTAGGAAAAATGAGAAATGCAGTGTATCGATGTATTTCTCTAGAATTACAGTAGGTACTTAGACTTGAACTAAATGATTCTAAATATTTGTATTCATGTTCAAATAAAATAAATAAAACAATAAATAAATGTATAATCTATGGAAATGACAAATATATCATATCAACCATAAATCAGAAATCATTGAGTTACTAGAGAATGAAATTGATCTCAAATTCAGCTCATCAGATTTTTCCTGATTCATTAATTTCTTGAAGTTAACAAATATTTATAATTGAACTGAGATTTCCTTTTCTTGATCCTGCTAGTAATTCTTGTAATAAATAACAGTGCATGGTTGGAATATTATATTTGTCATATTTTATGAATTGATAAAATTATGAATTATGTATACTGTGTACTCATAAAAAGCATGTGTCAAAGCCAAATAATTATGTCTATCAAAGCCAAAAACGCTTTCTACCCTGTTTTTATAAAATACCTCGTATATTTATCTGAATATTATATTTTGTATTTCGGATAGTACAGTAGTGAACCTAATAATTCTTATCAATGTACCATATCATGAACATCTAGTGCCCTATTAATATTATTTTCGGGGTGGTACCCTTGATTAATTCACTAGAAACAAAAACAGTGGCGTATCATCGATTAAGAAAACGACAACACAAATATATCCAAAATAAAGTGGTTCCTAAAATAGAAATCTTTGGAAGAATTATTGTTCAGCTTATTTTTTAGGAACGAATGTAATTCTGCCATAATATTTTATCACTATACATGTACAAAATATTTATATCAATATTTTTGTGTCAAGAACAAATTGAAACATGTTTTTATATTAGGAAAATATGTTATATGAACTGAGACATTCCCCAATATAAAAATTCTCCATTTTTCAAAATATTTTTCATATTCACAGCTCTATCATAGTTAGCATTTCTATCTGCTGCTTATTGTTTTCTTCAATTTTCTTTCTCCAAGTAATAGTATCTGTTGAAACAAAATAAGTTTTCAAACTCGTTGAGCGTGTTTCACATCCTGTATATTTTTATTATATAATCAACAGTGGAAATGATGATCACATGAATTCTTTACCTATAATTTGTCATGAAAGGACGGGAAGTCAGTGTATGAATGAAACCATTCGTATTTTGAATTTGTTCAATTTCGTTTCATGTTTCAATATGCTTATCATATTATATCAGCATCTTATAAATTGATGAAATAATATTCTCAATATCAAATTATTGAGAAGAGGCAAAAACAACTCGTAATATTTTATATTGTATAGTGGCGATACTTTCCCCCGAACTTTATTTTCCTTGGAAAAGTACAATATAGCAAATAATTTATTCTAAAATAAATGGTGCTGTTTTATTTTCAACTAAACCCCAAAAATGAAAAGACAATTCTGCTAATCAACTATAAGTCTATCGCGCTATTATCAGCTATTTTCACAGTGATGGAGAAAGCCACAATTCCAATTTTATACCAGGAAACAAGGAACAGGTCACCACTGTCAGTGAAGATTCTGCCGAAATTACTTACAGCCTGGCTGGTTGAATTGAACGCCACCAAAACTCAAATTTCTATATTCTGAAGTAAGCTAAACATACTCTTCTCAGAGATCCATCGCGAAAGCTGCTCCACAAAAACTCGGGTTTTTATTTCGAGCAAAAAGCTACTTTACTCCTCAACAGCTTCTCATGACATAACAACCACAGATCCGGTCTGTTTCAAAATACTGTTCCCACATATGAGGTTCAGCATCTAATTCATTTTCTTCAGTTTATTTCTATCACTGTTACCAAAACATAATTTTGGAAACGATGATTCTTATCACATATATTTTTTTATATTGCCCAAATCAGAATAACAATTTCGTAATACCTTCATATTTCATAGAGGGTGGTTCTGTCATTTTGGCCAAGGTATGTAGGTGATATTCATTCAATCTTTTATATACTATAGGTACACTCAATTTCATATCAAAATAATGAGCAATAATTTTCCAATTCAATTCCCTAGATTGGATGATTACCAATCAGCTTAACTATGTGCCATGGCTATGCATTCATGTCAAAATTGGTGTCCACATTTCGCACTCAAGAAAAAACAAGTTTCAGCTTCTTGAGATTTAGGGTGACTGTATAAAAACGTTTAGCATTTAAGATTCAACATTTAAACATTTATAAGATTCTATACTGTCAGTACTGACATCAATTTTCTGATACAGAACCAGATTTTCAAGTTTAGTAACTGGTTGGAAATAAAAAATTTATGTTCTGATATCATTCTATTAATTTATATTCATATTCCTAAAATGATACCCACATAATAATTATATCTCTACATTATTATGAAAGTAATCACTATTCCTTGCCTAACAGAAACTGACTCACTCCTAATATTGGATCTTGGAAAACAGACATTCTAGTGTATTTTTTAAGAAAGGTTCAGTTTCCATCTGAAGAAGAATAAATATTCAGGAATGACAACCCAAGATTCTTTGAATAATTTTTGAATGGCGGGAACTTGAGATGTCACTTTTGGAGGCGCCGCACTCCGTATTCCATTTATGATCATTTATCAACACTTCTTAAGTTGGAAGTTAGTCATCTTCTTGAATCTTAAATGTTAAATCATAAATCTTAAATGGTTTTTTATAACACAACCAATGATATTTCCATGTCCCATCTGTCATAAGTGATAAGTGATGAATCTTAAGCCTTAAAGTTCTTTATAAAGTTGCCCTAAGATGACGATGGTTCCATCAGTATACCTATTCCTGAAATGTTTCACGATTCGACATGAAAACATGGACCTTTTATTTCATGAAAATCGGAAACTGAATTTAAACATTCGGGGTTTATTATGCGTTATCATGATTGGATACATTTCATGGGTATCAAGTAAGTAGATAATGATATTCATTGTGAAATTAATTTTACTGTAAACGCACTCCACCGCCTCCAGGGCATTCTCCAGTACTGACAACCTTCAGATCTGAAAAAAAAACAATTCTAGATAAACAAATCCATTGATTTGATGTTTAAATGATCCTTTATCACCCTATAGATAATTGTTCTCTTTGTGATTCAAAACCTTGTATGATGTGAATCTCAAAGAGATGTTATTTTGCTTATTTTCTCTGTAAAAAATAGGGAGAAAAATTCTAATGAACATGAGTCGAAAAATGTCTTCTGAGAGAACTACGCGTCCCCCCTTCTCCCTTGAAAATGATATTTCTTGAATATTTCCGAAATTTCATTTGATAAAATGACAAGAACTTAACGTTCCATACCCAATGCAGTGAAAATGATTTCATCCCAAAATTCCAATCACGAGTGTATGATACAGGGTGGAACTTCATTGACTATAGCTCAAACTTTATCTATATTATTCATTGAATTCAATCTCGAATTATGAATATACACACTTCCAGACATTTCATTTCCGTGTCAAATTGATTTGAAAATATTGTGATACTCACATCTTATGCATAACGTTCCCAAATTTTTCAATCATAGTGCCTATGAAAAAATAATTTCTTTCCACCAAACAATTTCATATAGGCGCGTGAAATAGGAAAACTATGATAAAGAAGTGCATTTTTTTCCATTGCCACTACGATTTATTGCAATGTTAATATTTACTCGAAAATGATATATTATCTGCACTTTTTCTCTGTATTGAGGTGTGGATTTTCATAATTCGATATTAAATTGTCGAGAAATATTTAATGTAGCCTCACCCAGTTTTATACACTAGCTCCTGAATGGAATTTTGGAATGGTTGTATTTTCACTGCTTCTGGCATGGGAAGTTTAGTTCTTGTACCAAGTTGCATCATTTTATCACATGAAGTTTCGAAAATATTCAAGAAATAACATCTTCAGGAGGACTCATGTTCAAATGAACGTGATTAGAGATGTTATTCAAATTTTTGGTAGTAGAAGCCGTGAATGATGTTTGGTAGGCTAATTTTGGGACACCCTGTACAATGTGTTTTCCTAGCAATTATTATAGTCATTAGGAACCTAAATTAATTTCTGCAAAACTTTTCACGCTTTTTTTCATGTAAATTGGTGAATTTCAGAGCTCATTTCAAAAGTAACGTTCGAATAAATGGTGAAGTCAGTTTTCATGCGTTTTCGATATAGTCCAATAAATGAAGGAGGAAAAAAAAAAGGCAAAGTTAACGTTAATTACGCACTATTTTCATCTACCGGTTGAAAGTAGCTTCTGGTACCTCATTAAACATGAGACAAAGTTTGACTGGAAAACGCGTGCGATGGCGGAGAAAATGGCCCCAAAAGACCAGAAAAATAGGTTTTCTGCCAATATCTCCTAAAATATGTCAGTTAGAGATTTTCGGTTCAGATAAAAATTGAAGGTCAGTTAATTTTCTACAAAAATGGTCCTCATCATTTTTCTCGAAAATTTGCCCGGTTTCTAGAAAAACGGCACGAAGCGCACCTCGAATAATGAGCTTCTGTGTTGTATGCCGGAGAGCACAGTCCGTGTATTTACACATCGGCGGGGGGACAAATTATTCAATAACTTTGTTAAAAATGCATATTTTCTCATGATTCAAAGTTTATGTGAGAGAGGAATTCTGCTGCTATCATAACCTGCGTGGCCGCATGGTTTGTAGCAGACGACCCGAGCGCCACGTAGAGCACACACGCGGCGAACGACGGAGGAAAAGTAATTGCACAATCGAAAAGAAGACCTTCTTAGCTTTCAAATGATGTATCATAGAAACCTATCGAATCATGTATAAATTTTCAATTGATGGTTGTTCACAAAATTTCCCCGCGCTCCAAAAACAGCAAAAAATTTTGATTCAATAAACAAAGATCAAATGAAAATTTAAAAAAATTAGGGTATACAAATTTCAGGGATAACAAAGGACCTTATGAGGACCCATAATCAAGAAAATTTTGAGTAAATTAGTGCAATACAAAAAAAATAGGAACAAATTCCTGGCGAGGTCAAAATTGACCGGGAGCAGAAAGTTTGACCCATGTTCCGATATGGCCAAAAGAGTCAAGCGTGACTCAATTCACAGGGTATGATAGCAGCAGAATTCCTCTTTCACATGAACTTTGAATCATGAGAAAATATGCATTTTTAACAAAGTTATTGAATAATTTGTCCCCCCGCCGATGTGTAAATACACGGACTGTGCTCTCCGGCATGCAACAGAAGCTCATTATTCGAGGTGCGCTTCGTGCCGTTTTTCTCGAAACCGGCAAATTTTCGAGAAAAATGATGAGGACCATTTTTGTAGAAAATTAACTGATCTTCAATTTTTATCTGAACCAAAAATCTCTAACTGACATATTTTAGGAGATATTGGCTGAAAACATATTTTTCTGGTCTTTTGGGGCCATTTTCTCCGCCATCGCACGCGTTTTCCAGTCAAACTTTGTCTCATGTTTAATAAGGTACCAAAAGCTACTTCCAACCGGAAGATGAAAATAGTGCGTAATTAATGTTAACTTTTTCCCTTTATTTATTGGACTAATATTGGTCAGAAAATCTTACATTTCCACTCATGAAGCAAGATTGTCAAGTCAGCAATTATAATCAAGTTATCAAAAAGCTGCTTGAGTATAATATAATATAATATAAAATTCAAAGGTATTTGAGTAATGATTCTATTCAGGAAACAAAAAAAAATTCAGTCCACTCGCATTGAGTATTCACACTAGTGTATATAATCAAGGGCTCTAGCCTATTGTTGTTTATTCTGAGGCGGGAATATTTCCGATTCTGCACATAATTCATTGTGTAACTCACTTTGTGCGTTCTCGCAATTGTAGTTGCCAAGAACGCATTCACTTCCGAAACTTTTGTTGCCCTTTCCAGTGCCATCTCCACCGCAGACCGGTTTATACTCGATGGTCGAGCAATCTTTGAGGCAGGGTTTCTTCTTCAGAGAGGCCTTCGTAGAGCCCTTGGAAGGAGCTGCTTGAGCAACAGCCAAAAGTGCCACTAGAAAAAATGCAAAGTGCTTTTCGCGGTCACCTGATCTCTATCCGTTGGATTATTACATACAGGGTTGGGCAAAAGTATGGAACCAGGTGAATATCTCGGTAACAATTTGTTAGATTGTTTTGAATATAAGTACAGGGTGATTTCAAAACGTGGTGGATTTGAAAATATTATCGTCGATGTTGCCACTTTTTCAGATATACCGGAATTATTATCAATTTCCTTATTTTAAATAGAACACCCTGTATTTCATTGAATTTTCAGATTCTCCCTGAAAAGCTGATTTCATCGATCCATCGCACTTGGGGGTCTAGCAAGGATGATTACTGAGACATAAGGTGTTCAAAATCGAGATTTTTCAACTTTATGACTTTTTTGTGTCGAAACTATTCATTATCGGTCAAAACGGCTTTCATGTCCCTATATTATCTTTTGATCTACTATCTATTGGTATTTGATGGAAATAGATACAGGATAATCAGATTTCTGAATCTTGAATCTCACTGTATTTGTTTCAATCAAATGTCGCTATATATTGAATCAAAAGTTGAAGTAGGGACATGTAAGCCGTTTTGACCAATAATGAATAGTTTCTACACTTTGAACACCCAATATCTCAGTAATCATTCTTGCTAGACCCCAAGTGTGATGAATCGATGAAATCAGCTTTTCAGGGAAAATCTGTAAAACCAATAAAATACAGGGTGTTCTATTCAAAATAAGGAAGTTAATGATAATTCCAGAATAACTGAAAGAGTGGCAATATCGACGGTAACATTTTCAAATCCACCACGTTTTGAAATCACCCTGTACATATATTCGAAAAAATCTAACAAACGGTTACCGAGATATTCACCCATAGTTTTTAAGTAGATGAGCTTGACGAAAATGTGAACGTTCCAGATCCAAATTCAAAAAAACTGTCGAAATTCATCTTGTTAAACAAAACTGTTGGCGAGAGGAATATCTTTGAATATGCGCATCTTGACTAGATGAAAGAAGGATTTGATGATGAAGGTGACGTAAGGAAATTAGGTTGACAATGTAGTTCGCCTTCTTCTTCTCTTCTTGTACTTCTGGGAACTCCATCAGGCATTACGCTGTAGCCAGTGTCACAAAATAATTTGGGTTTGAAAGTTGAAAGGTCATTTAGTAGCCTTAGGAGAATCAAAACCTGGTTGAGGAGCACCATATGTATGATGCTCGACTCAATGGCCTCGCAATGATGAGTATACACAGGCAACATATTTTCAAAAACTTGAACGATTTCGTCAAAAAGTGACCAACGAATTCCCAAAGAACCCTAGAAGATTATTTTTCAACTGATTTACTGTATAGATTTTTTTCTGTTTTTTGATTTTCTCATTAAATTCTTTCTATTTGATTTTTCTCTTCAGTTTTTTTATGGTGCCCCCCTCCCCCTATTTTTTTCCGCTGGCGACGCCCTTGTTTATGACGACATCAAAGCTGGCTTTTTCAAGAGTGCCAAATTTTAATATTAAAAAAAAATTGAAAATGAAACACCATTAAAATATTTCTTTTGATAATTCTGGTTGTTTTTTTTTTTGTTATATCAGGATAATGAGTGTTGAATCTGTTGTAATATGTGAACCAATATCAACTTTCGCCATCCATTATTTTTGGAAAATCGTAGTAAAACCCTTCATTGTGAAGAATCAAACAAAGAGTTTAGTTTCTATTACAATGATATTGAAGAATGTGTGTAATTTCAGTAATTATCCAATATAGAGTCAGATAAGCTGTTATACTGGACATTGCAATAAAATAAATATGTATAGCAATTTTCCTATTCAATTCGTCACATTGGATAATTTCCAATTCAATCAGTCCATATAAAAATTAAGTGTACGACTTACCAAGGACGACACCAAACAGAACACAGCTCTTCATTGCAGTTGTTTCACAGGTTTCAATAATTCAACTCTAAATCAAGTATGCCTTGTTTCTGTGGTCAAGTCGGCTTATATAAGCGATTCCCCCTATTTCTAGGTATACTTTTAGTAAAGGGGCCAGTGACAAATATAGTATACAGATTACGAAGAATTTTCATGCTTGAATATGCTGAAAATGTCTGCCATAAGATAGAACAATATTCCTGTTTTTGCTTTGCACATGAATACAAAATTCATTTTCAGAAAAAGAAACAATTTTACAAAATATAAAATGAACAACATCAATGGTAGATTTCGGGAGAAAAACAACTACTTTTCTGGCTAATACCACGCAAAATATTGAATTACATCCTCCAGAAATCTATGCATTGACTCGTATAAACGAATACTGATACAAGTGATTCTTTCCTGAATTCCTATTGATATCGATTTAGCCAGGCCACGCTAGACACCTATCGACCGGTTTCGAGCTCCTTGACTCTCATCAGTGCAGGGCAGTCTCCAGCCACCAGTCCTAAGACCGCCGACTAAGCGTAGCCTAGCCAAACAAAAATCAAGTCGGAATTTTATTCTCCCAGAGGCATCCTTGATAGACAATATGAAAGCAACGCCATCTGAGTAGAAAAGAAGGAAAGAAATACTCCAAAACTGAAATCCCCAGTAGGCATTCAGGAAAGAATCTTTTGTATCAGTATTCGTTTATACGAGTCGATGCATAGATTTCGGAGGGATGTAATTCAATGTTCTAAGTGAAAGTATTTGTTTTTCTCCCGAATTCTACCATTGTTGTTCATTTTATGAACATTGTGTGCAAATAACTTCGAACTTTTTGTATTTATTTGACATTTCATTCCACTCTGAGCATTGTAGCTATTTCGTAGTTGTAATTTCACTAAAGATAAAAAAATTGTGAAAATCATGCACCGTTTGTGATTCTGATATTTCGTATAGTAGCAGTCACACCTTGATGTTGCAGAAGAATGATTTTCTACTCGCTTTTTTTCTGAAAAGTCCGATATAGGTTCACATTTTTATTTGATAGATGGGTGAAACTTCAAACTTATTGATGGAATAATAATCTGTGAAATGCTATCTAGATGAATTTTGAAAGAATCGGTATTTTACTCTACCAAAGGTACTTTCAATTTTCTCACTTAACTCGTGTACTGAAGAATATGATCCATTAAACTATGTTATTTAGGTAACCTACTGCATAACCGCTTATGAATATCTCCTACACCATCAAGAATAAATAAAAAAAAATGAGTCGAAATATACATGGCTTGCCTGAAAGTATATGAGCTGGCGCATGGACTATTATGGAAATCTGCAACAATCACAGCGATGTACGATTAAGTGGTCAACAAAAGAAGTGATTACACCTACTCTCTGTTTCAGGTTTTGTATTGTGATTTGATAATGAATACGAATAATGTGTTAACAGGATATGAATATCAGATGTCCATTTTTTTTTGTTTTACTAGACTTTTCATACGCCAAAATTGAACGGAATCGTGATTTTCATGATAATAGTTATTTACCAAGTTTTTTCAAGCATAACTGCGAATTGTGAGGTCATGTAACATGTAGACTGGTTTAAATTAATCCTTCTGTTAAGGTACGTTATAACGAGCACACCCTGTACTGGATTTATACGTGGTTGAAAATAAACCTGCGTTTTATACAACACTTCACTTCATAACATATTTTTATTCATTTAAACACAAAAACTGCAATAAATTAAACAGAAGTTTTTTTAAAAATCTAGCAGAAGAATGTTTGATATTCATTTCAAATGCATTTATCTATCTTCTATAAGTAGTACCTAAACAAATAACAAAAATATTAAAGCTGAAAATAATATCCATCTGCATTAGCTATGCTAATCGTACTTAAGTCTACGTTGAAAAACATCGTATACATTTTTTCACAAAAATTTTGACGACGTCATTGAATACTGAAAAGCTCCTGATATTTCCACCAGTGGTTTTGTTGATTTTCCGGTCGGTATCAGCATTCTCCTGGTTTCACCTCTGCATAAACTACAAAGAAAAAATACATGATAAAATCAAGAATATAGTTTGGTCACGTTGGATTGTCCCTCAAACTTTATTATCACACCCTGTATAATTTCGGGCACATTTTTTTTTATCGCTTGGAGCGCACGAAAGGGAATCCCTATAATGTTCAAAGAATATCGTGCGTTTCTAGGGAGAATAGGGATAGGAGGTACACTGAGAAAAACTGGTTAATTAAAACGTCTAGTTGGTATTTTTTTAGTACCGATAATTAAAAATATTTGGAATTTTATTAACAATGACAACGTATCCTTATTTCCTACAAATGACTTTTCTATTTTTCGCCAATTATTTGTCATCAATAAAAATACTATTTGTGACAGAATTATCACAGTGTTGCCTATTCAGTCAATTAAAATTTCATATTGCGGTTGAAAAACCTCATTCTGGGGTTACTAACAACAGCTGACTATTTGCCACAACTGATGACACATTTATCGTAAAAGGTTCATTATTATTCATAGCAGAAATTGTTTAGCCATAACTAATAATTTTAGTTGTACTGCGACGTTCGGGACCGCCTCGCGTCTCTTCGGGACCCACCGGCAAAAATTGCATCTTGCATCTGTTTGTCTTTCTGTTTCATCATTTGAACTTGTATCTCGATAGTGGATAGATCGCACGGTCGTCGAGCTTAGACAAAATAAATAAAATAATTGTCTAGTGTAGCCGGGAGCATCGTGTTCTTGCTGGTTCACTGTTCTGTGTGTTTTCAAATCACTGTTTTGTGTTTTTTTGCACTTCGCGCTGAGCCATTTGGCATTTGGTTGGCAAAATAATAATTCGCAGTTTTCCATCGTTATCTGTGCGTCACTAGTTATCAGGTCTGAGCTGTGGCCTGTGGCACTTACGGTGTGTGGCGAGGTGTGTGGTGTATTCCTGTTCACGATTCCATTGGAAATTGGAAGGAAAATGGCATACAAACTGTTATTATTAGAATGGGGCCTTGATTTTAATTGATATAAAACTATTAAGTTGCCAGAATAACTGAATTATATTTCAAACGTTACTAAATCACTTTTAATAGTAACTAGATTCCATTTCAGTCACAATTAAATATTTAATTTGCAACAACACACTCACTATTAACGTCAGAAGAAATGAGTAATTGCCCCAACTGGGATAATTTGTTGTGATAACAAACATATATGGAAACAGTACTAACAATCTAATTGTCATAACTATGTATCTTGATTGTGGCAAATGAAACTTGGTATTATTCCTTAAAAAGGCTTATTAGTTACCACAACAACGTTGTAGATGACTCAACTAAACTTTCCATTAGAGGCAAATAGGCGTTTCCAGAAAAACAGAATTAGTTATGGCAACAACTAATGCTTGCTGTCCCCTATCGTACTAAAAATTTTTTCTGTAGTTACTAATTTTTTAGTAACGGCTACAAATTTTTTCCCTCAGTGTAGGTATTGGAATTTTTTTTGGACTCCTGGAGATTATATGTTGTTGGTAATACTTCCTCAGGCAATGAATTCCAGAGCCTAGCCGTTCTATGGATGAAGGAGTTTTGATAAAGTGCTGTTCGGCATCTTTCGAGGTTGACAACGAAAGGATGTGCTGACTGGGCTTGTCTAGTTCGTCTGACTGGCATTGCTAGTGAAGGGATGGTAGCAGAGATTTCCGAAAAACATTTCCCGTGGAAGTATCGATAGAAAAGTGAAAGGTCGTCGACCTTTCTACGGTGTTCCAATGATGTCAAAGAGTGAGTGAGTGTGGCGTCACCCACCAGGCGAATGGCTCTTCTCTGGACGGAATCTAAGAGCATCGGCGTATGTTTTGGTGCTGAACCCCATATGTGGGAACAGTATTCTAGAAAAGGCCGTATCTGCGCTTTGTAGATCATGAGAAGCAGTTGGGGTGTAAAGTAGCTTTTCGCACGGAACAAGAATCCGAGTTTTTGTGAAGCAGCTTTTGCAATGGATCTGACATGATTATCCCATGAAAGAGTGTTGCTGATGGAAAAACCAAGCATAGATATGGTGGGCTTGGTGGGGATGGTGGTGCCAGACATTACAATGTCGGTAATACTGAGTTCCGCCTTTCTAGAGAAAATACAGGCTTGACTTTTGGTGGCGTTGAATCCAACTAGGTTGTTGATTCCCCAGGCTGTGATTTCAGCAAGGTCTTCATTGATAGCATTGACCTGCATGCGCCGTGAGTTCTAAGTTTCCTGGGAAGAAATGGGAATTCTGGAAGAGAACGCAGTATGGAGGGTACTATCATCTGCAAAGCTGTGGATGGGGCAAGTTGTTACTCCCAACAGATCATTGACATGAAGAAGGAATAATGTTGGTGCCAAAATTGATCCTTGTGGAACGCCGGAATTGATGCCAATGGTATCAGACGATACACCGTCCACCACCAAATGAAGCGATCTGCCTGAAAGAAAACTCGATAAGAGATGGCATAGCTGAGGTGGTAAGCCGTATGATGGTAGTTTGTGGAGGAGTCCTTCGTGCCAAACACGGTCAAATGCTTTCGATATGTCCAACGCGACAGCTAGAGATTCCCCGTGTTTTTCTAATGAAGTTTGCCATAAATGGGTGACTTAGGCAAGTAGATCTCCAGTAGATCTTCATAATTGAATTCCTTAGAAGTGTGTATCAGTCAAAACTTTTGATTTTTTATTGTACAGTGGTATTCAATAAAGAAGCGTACAAGTATTAAAAAGTACAACTTTACTCGAAAATGACTATTTGAATTTCAAATTGGCGCCACTCTGTATACAATGAGAGGAAAATTTTCTGGACTTCGAATGAGGTTGCGATCGCATTGTGCAAAAAGGTCAGTCCATTCGCCAATATTATCAGTATTATTAAAAATATAAGGTTACGTATGACGGAAGTCAATTTAAGAGATAACTATCATTTCAATTTCGTTTTGTACACAGTGGAATCATACATAAAAAACAGTTACAAGATATTTTATCAATATATACGCTGTGACAATTAAAA